TAAGCAGGAAGTCAGAAACTGCCCCTAACCCATGACTCTAAAAGTATAGATATATGGAGGACCAGATTCATTTTCTTGGAGTGGAACGATTCTGAGCAGTTGGTTTACTTTGGAGTTTCCATTATGGTACTTTATCTAAAATCACAACCTTGCTAGGCTCCCTTTTTGTTCCTTTCCCTGTTTTCCCACCTTCTTACCAGTTTCTTCTTGTCACATATTCTTAAAAAAAAATTATTTGCATAAGAATATTTATTTTACAGGCTGGTTCTAAAGAATCTGTGTAAAAACTAGTTATTAGCTGTTTGTTCTTTCATGTACTTACATTCTGCTTGTTAGTTTCTTACTCATGTACAAATATGAACACACACACAGATGAATTATTCAAGATTTTTTTAATTAAAAAACATTGAATGTATAGATTACTTTACCATATGGCATCTTCCTCCACCACCACCACCAGAAATCTACAGCTCAACTTCTACTCAGTTCCATTTTAATCATTCAATTAGAAGTCCTTTCTCATAAAAGTCATGCCCATATTTTATCAGATTTGTTCTTAGGTGCCTTATGACTGTGTTGCTATTACTGGTAACATTTTGTTACTGATTTAAAGGAATTGAATTCATGCCAATCTAATGTTTACCATCATTGCTAAACTTTCTTACTTGATAATTTTCTTTAGATTCTCTTTGTATTTCTAAGTAAGCTATCATAGAATCTGAGAATGATAGTTTATTTTCTCTTAAATTCTTATGTTCCTGTGACTTTTCTTACAGTGATAGATAGGATATATTGAATGGCATTATTGATAGATTTGGTGTTACTTGGATGACCATTATTTATAAGCTTGTGATTTTAAAAAATATTAATTTTTATCTTTTGTTAAGTATGATTTGTTATTCAACTTGTACATGATGACTTTTCTGTTATACAAAAAATCTTATTGTGATCAAATTTCTTAGTGTTTGTTTCTGTTCTAAACATCCTGTTTAAGAAATCTTTCCATACCCTCATGTGGTAAGCATAGTTTCTGTATTTTTATAATACTTTATAGTTACACTACGTATTCTAATACATAGGACAGAGAGAGGTACTACACATTTGTATGTGTGTATTTCTGGATATGCTTACCAAAAAAAAAGAACTATTCTTTTTTATAGTGTTTATATTATCCCCCATGGTTGCTTTTTTTTTCCTCTCTGTTTAAATGACTTTAAAAACTTAGAACTTTGGTTTCCAATTATGTGTTTTATATTGTGGTGACATCTTCAAATCTTCCATGAAAGTTCTCAGCCTCAGCTTAAGACAAAGTGAACAGTTTCTCTTTTCCTTCTATTTTCAAATCCTTCTTTTATAATTTTAATTATTTATAAATATTTATTTTTATAGTTATGTGTTTGCTAGTTCTATACTTTGCAGTTTTTGTGGAGTAGTCAGGCTGTTTTTATATGTTGTTAATGCTTATCCTTGCTAGAATATTTCCCTAGTGCTTATTAATTTTGTGTGTGTGTGTGTGTGTGTGTGTGTGTGTGCAAGCATGGAGCTATTTCTGTTGGAATTATGTATGGTCTTAGCTGACAGTGGAGTTCTTCCTAGAAACATCAAATTTGTTGCTTCCTGGTATTCCAGGTATATTATACTCTTGGAATATCATTTTGATGTTTCTTGATTTGGCCTCTCGTAGAATATGGATGTAATATTAAAGCCAATTTTAAGTCCACATAAAGGTAGAGTTCTTGTTATTCATTTTTGTGAGAACACTTTTTTCTTTCCCCAAATTACTAGCCAACTCCATCAGAGTTTGCACTTTTCTTTGTAAGATGACTTTTATTTTTTCTTGGTTATTTTTTTCCTAGTCTACCATTTCAATGAAGCTGAAACTCTTTGAAAGTCTTGGATTTATAAAGCATCTCAGCGTGTGCTCCCCAGATTGCATGGTCACAAGGCCTTTTTTTTTTTTCCTATGCCTAATTGAACTATTGACTAAAGCCTACTTAATAATGAGGAAGCTCACTGACAGCATATTCTTTCTTTCTCTCTCTCTCAATATCTGAGCATATGTTACTTTCTCCTGAACATTTAAGAGAATTTTTCTATTGTAATTAGTATTCTAGTTTTAATTTTGCTACTAATGTGTTCATTGCAGTATATACAAATACAATTGATTTTTTTCAGCATATTATTGGGGTACAAAAGTTAAGGTTACGTATATTGCCCTTGCCCCCTCCCCCGTCGAGTCAGAGCTTTAGGCATGTCCATAAATATATTTTATCAATATTTAGAGTTTTTGTTGTAGGTTTTTGTTGTTGTTGTTGTAATTCATCATCTTATCAGAAGCAAGGGAAATCAAGAGATCTTTTTCAGTAATTAATCTTTCAGAAGAATAAAAAAGAATTGAATAAAATACAAGTGTTTTGTCTAACCAGTTAGGATTACATATTTGACACATCTCTGACTATTCAAATATCAGTAAACACCTATTTAATTTCATAATCTGAATAAAAGATGAATGAATGCTAGTGTTGATTTTTCTTAATGTTTGAGGTATTCCAACCATGAACTGTTTTTGACACTGTCCTGATAACTCAGCTTTAACATATTACTGTTCTGTGCATTTGTATTCTCTTTATAAACCTGGCCTCATACGAAGACAACATTCTTTGTATTTAGAGTGTTTGTAATTAGATGACATTAACCAAAAACCTAGATCCGAATTACAGCAAGTACAATTCTAGCTGAATGGGTGAGGCTAATTGATGGTAATAACAAAGTTTCTTCTTATTGCATTTCTTTTAAAAATTACATTTATTACTGGACATCAAGATAAAACTGACAACTATAATAAAGAGCTAATAAAAGAGATGTACTGAGAATGCCATTTTATATCTCTATCTGAACCCATAATTCAATTGTAAAAATTGAATTGGAGTCTTACACTAGCTTTTGCTGGAGCAGAAAACCATGCATAGACCCTGATACTGCCCTTAAATCATAGCATATTTCATACTAGTTTGAAGCTAAACAAGCACTTTTATTTCAATGATCTCATGTGATTTGATTCTCTGATTATCTTCGCAATGTAGACAAATGGAGGCATTAAATCATTATTTGTAAAAATGAGAGTCGTGAACTTCAGAAAGGTGGATCAAATCCTCAAAGATTCTTATTTCTATAGGTAGGAAGAGTAAAGAGATACAGGAGTCTCTGCCACATATTACAAAACAACTGTTCAAGGGTGCTGTGCTTTTAGACACATTCAGCAGGAGTCTATTAAGTGTTAGGTAGATAGAGATTCTGGCTCTCCTAGGAACAAAGGTGGTACCGTGCCTTGGTGCTGCCTTGGGCAATTGCCACAACTGGAAAGATGGATAGAGTAGGCTCCCCATTTTTGGTGCTGTCCCACCCCTTGATCCTGCCAAGAGCAGAGCAACTGCCTCACCTGAAAGAAGGAGAAATGCCTTGCCAATCTGCAATAGAATGCAGGGAGTCCCAGGCAGCCAGGCACAGTAGGATTTGGAAAGTGACCTAGAGTGACCTAAGGCTAATTACCATGCCATTAACTGTTCAGGAAAGTGGTTCAGTGGTGACTTCTGAACCATGAGGAGGGCCCGATCCAGACAAGACCCTAGACCATTACCAGAGCCTCTTATTAGGACAGAGGGGCCCATTCCTTGACTGTGGAGAACATATCTGGCTCTTACTCTATAAACCTATCTTGCCCTTCCTCCCATAAGCTTCGTTTCATGCTTGCTTTGCTTTTGGTGTGTTTGGTCATTCTTTGGCCAAGAGCACACAAAGAACTGGGAACAGACAACAACCTACCCAACATAAGGAAATAACAAAAGAGTGATTCTAAGAAAATGAGTACATGTTCTTTTAACATAACTGTGCAACAAATCAACAAAGTAAATTATCTTTATCTAAAGAAACTAGTAAAACCATTTAAAATATCAAAAGAGAAGGAAAGTATTAGGGAAAATACGGGCCAAGTAAAAGAAAAAGATTATATTTTGAGGATGTGGACATTTGCCAATGAAGCTTATATTTAAAATGAATAGTACAACAAACTCTACTCTAGCCTTTCCCTTATTTACTTATATCTTCACATTTTGCTTTCAGTAAAGTATGTTTTCCATCACTAAAGCCATTTTCCATTGGGAGGACATAAACAGATATGCTAATTAGGTGAACACAGTGACATCATGATTCCTCATCTTATACACCATTTTATACTAAGCCATAGGTTATAGTTATTCAACAGTGTACATTAAATATATAAATCTCAAATGATAAATCAAGATAGAAAATAACATATTATCTTGCAATGTTTGATGAGAAGCAAAGTCTGAAAACAGATTATAATATTTTTTCCTTTATTAATATGCAAACAAAGTAAATGCTGTGTACCAATACTGGTAAAATCTATGCAAAATGTTATGTAATATTAATTATAAAAGCATATATGTATGTAGTTTTATGTACATGCATATAAAAACAAATATATTGCATTAGTATTAGTTGGATTTCACTTTTTATATTTGTAAAAGTGAAACTTTTAATGGGCATGTAAAACTCATAAGCTATGAGTGGGAATGCAAATACCCACTATATGATCTAGTCATCCTATTCCAACCTAATTTCCCAAGGGAAATGAAAGTGTACGTATACACAAAGACTTATAAATGAATATTCATAGTGGCGTTATTTATAGTAGCCCCAAACTGGAAATTACCCAAATGGCTGTCAACTAATGAATGAATAAACAGATTGAAGTATATCCACACGATGGGATACTAGTACCAATAAAAATGAATGAATTATTGGTATGTGCAACAACAAGATAAATTTCAAAATAATTATGCCATGTAGGAAGTAGGAACAAAAAAGAGTAGGGTATGGATTCCAACCATATAAGACTCTACAAAATACAAATTTATCTATAGTGACAGAGTTATCTCTCTAGGTTCTCAGAATAAATCTGGTCAACTACCTACAAAGGCTCTTGCTGTTTTCCTTGACAGTTTTTGCTCTATTCCATGAGAACAGCTGCTGTTCTACTGGGTACTGTGATGTTCTTGCACGGTACTGCTCTTCTTGTTATAAGAACTCCTTTCCCTTGTTGACATCTGTCAGGTACTGCCTGTCTCGGGCAAGATTTGGCTGCAGGATGGAGAAACCATTTTGACTATTTTAAGCAGAGAAAAATTTACCACTGAGAGATTAGGTGCTAACACTATTATTAGAAGGATTAGAGGAGTAGATTCTAGGCTAAAGTTTTCAGAAATTAATCTCCAGGGGAGTTTCCTGTCCAGATAGTTGGAACCAGGAGGCTCTCACTGGAACTCTTGACTTCAATGATCTAGAGATCATTGTCATAAATATGATCTAGAGATCAGGAAGACATTGCTTCTGCCACTTGAAATGACTTTCAACATTGTCAAAACCAGAGATCGAGGACTGGGAAGTAGTTGCAATCCACGCCCCAATGTCTTTATGCCCTCCAATGAGCAGAAAATAATATGATCAGTGTACCAAGATGGGCTCAGTCTCCCTTCTGCCTTCTAGAGCTGATAAGGTTGTTTTTATTTGTTGGAACTTAATTTGCTTCCAAATCTCTTGATATTTCCCAAAGTCTAGATGTGTAGTTTTATATATTTATCTCTCTCTCTCTTTCTCTCTCTGTCTCTGTCTCTCTCACTATATATAAATATATATATGGGACAAATCTTAATGATAGCCCCCATGCTGGGCTCTGCATTTTCCCTCCAACAATGCAGGCTTTGTCAGTAAGTCACATTTGTCTCCTTAGCTCTTCACTATTCTAGGGTGAATTCTCATCTCCCATAGAAATTGACTTGAAAGCGTTTTGCAGATCATGTTTCCTAAAATGGCACAACTATAACTCCCATTCCACATGTCCTTTCACAATGTGACCTTGATGTTTGCCAATCAAGAGATGTTCTATTTCATCTTCTTTTGAATCTGAACTGCCCCTGTGATTACTATGATCAATTCTGGAACTTTTAAAACCAAGCATTAAGAAAGCTTAATAGGGTCCACCTTTGTGCTCTGGGGTAATCATGGCAGCATATAAGAAATTGTCAAACCATCATGCTGTGAAAAAGCTTAAGTTAGTCATGTGGGGGGGGGTGAGAGAGAGAGAGAGAGAGAGAGAGAGAGGGCTGATCAGTTCAGAGCTATTCTAGTCATTTCAACTGAGGCAAAGATGTGTGAGCAGAGAAGCTATCTTAAAAATTCTAGCCCTAATGTTATCCCAGAACAAAGAGGAATTGTCCCTATTGAGCATCCAATTTTCAGAAATAGGAGCAAATAAATAATTATTGTTATTTTAGGCCCCACCCCCCAAATGAATAACCCTTAGCTACATTTTTTAGTATAATAAAATATATGATTCTAACAAAACAAATAAGAAATTTATAATCTTTTCAAAGCAGGACTACATACATTTCAGGTATTTTATAATTTTAGATTAAAATATATTAATAAACATTCTATTATTAATTAAAATGTTTAATCATAGATTTTTTAATGTTCTAATCTATTACTGGAACTCTGCTATTTCTTATCGGAACTATTGATTATTGCAAATTCTTGATTTTATAAGGTCAGTAATTTGATAATTATATAATTAGGAATAAAATTTTGTTTGCAAATTAGAGTGCCATAACATAAAGTTAGGAAAATAGGTTATATTTGACTTCAGCTGTATTTGAATATGAATAAAATGAGCAATTTATAAATAGAATGGCCTCCAATTGCCTGAAGTAAAAGGACAGGGTGAAAAGCTTGATCAATACTAGCTTTCCTTGCAACTAGTAGTCCTGAGCAAATGGAAAGACATGGTCACATGCTTAAAATACATTTGAAAATCATTTATAACAGTGTCAGTGGAAATTCACTAAATTCTTTGAAAGTGTAATACATTCTAGGAGCAATAGCTTTTTTAAGCAAGAAATTCTATGTGCATTTAAATATTTTAAAGTCAATAGAGTAAAACTGATCAATTTTAAATACATTTATCTGCATTCGCTAACTAGTAAGTCTATTGAGTGAGAGAAGAGGGCTAGATCTGTGTAATGACTTTGGTTCTTTCGAGGCTAATGCAAAATTTGGGCTTTCTCTTTTCTCAGGATCATTTACTAAGAAAGCCTGCTTGCGCACAAACTGACTGGTGTTGGCAGTGAATTCCAGAATCCTGACACGACAGGAATGAGTATCGTCTTTTAAATCTTCTTTTTTCTGGCATGTCTGAAAAATCCAGCATTAGCCTGAGGAATAAAGTCACCAAACATTACTACATTTCCAGAAGAAAGAAGGTGTTCTGGGGGAAGTCTGTACCATTTAATTGGAGCAAATTTGACAAGACTCGCTTCCTCTTGTTGCAGGCTAATACTATCACCATGTTCTGAGCGCCCTTTGAAAACCACATTAGTGCTCCAGGCCACTCCCTGCCCCTCCCTATAGATAAGGCTGACTAGTTTGGAAGTTATCTTTGAAGGAGTGGGTTGACAGTTTCAGATAAAAGTGCTTCTAATTTACAGGGCAGAACTGGGAGGAGATGAACTGATTGTGAGGCCAGGAAAAGAAAGCAAAGGTTGAAAGAGAAGGAAGTTCTGCAGAGGAATTCTCTGTTACACCTTTCTTATCTGGCTTATGAAAAGTTTGCCTAACTCAAGTTAGCAGCATCTAAAATAAATACGTGGCTAATATAGCATTTATAAAGCAACAATAATAAATATATGTGAAAATGGATCTTTACATCACAAATGATGGGCAAATCAAGAAAATGGCTAATGATGGCTGTGAATTATTGTCTTCCCATTATCACTAATCCTGCTATAAGGCAGCTAGGCAAATGCTCTATCCCCTTAATTCTAAGACAACTTTCACTTTAAGAGGTACTTCATAATGGCTTTTCAGGGGATTTAGGGAATCTGGAATTTATCTAACAAGATTAATATGTATTTCTACCTTATATAAATTCTGCATTTTTAAGAGTTTACTCTGTAGGGATGTATCCTAGTCCCAAGGATATTAATGTTTTGAATCTTTCTATATTAATGTTTTGAATCTTTCACATAATTGGGGTTAAAACTCATGTCTTTCAATGGAGAACATCAGCCTAGTCACTACACTCGCTCTACCTCCTCCAGAATGATTCCACTTCTCTTCCAGCCAGTGACGACTGCTCCTCATGCAATCAACTTTTCCTGATTTTTTACTGATATGGTAGAATCTAAGTTTACTAGATATGAGTTAAAAGTTAACACTACTTAATAAGTGTCAAAATGAAAACATTAGAAAAATTAAATTTAGCAGAGTCTAATTGAATGAAGAACATTTCCTGAATTAGGCAGACCTTCCCCACCCAGAGATAGAGCCTTTTTGAAATTTCGAAATCAAATAAATTACTTCCCATTCTGCAAACATATATTCATATATTACAAGTCCTGTATCTCTCTGGATTGAAAAATAATCATAACTTATACTTTCTTCCACCATGCTTCCTCATGCATTCAATCCATGGCTTGAATCCATTATAGCACCATGTTAGTAGTTGTTGTGAACCTTCCCAGGCCATTTTGTAGAAGCTTGTGCTGGCTTAAGTTTTAAAGGATTAAGGTTTGATCCAGCCAATGCTTTGATACATTCTCTACCCACTGTCGCAGTTCCATCTGGAGCCAATTTCACTACTTCCAAGACTTTCTCTTTACTCCAGTTGTGTTTACTGGTATTATTGTCATTGCTAACTAGATTTGGGGCCAGCAAACTTCAGAAACTTTGATAAGTAGGGCCAGGAAGTGAAT